ACATAGACACCAAGGGGATGATGCACTTCCAACGCAGCCGAAGCCGCAAGTGCAAATGTACCTTTATCCTGTGCCCATGGAAAAACCTAATTTTAATCTTTTCATTATTATTACAAACATTTTAATTATCATGATGCCTTAATTTTTTTTCCTTAATCCTTATATTGTAAAACTTATTACAATAAATTTTTATTATAAAAATACCACAATCTATTTTTATAACTATTACCATAGTCAATAACTATTAATTAATGGTTAATATAATACTATTTTTTTAACAAGTTTACATTTGGGGAGAAAGAGTTTGGAATCCCAATCGTTAGGTCGGGGATATACCTTACAATCTGATTTATAACCATTAAGCCATGATGCTCAGCTATAGTTAATATAATACTAATGAATTGATATCCTATTTGAAATTAACATATACTACTAAGTAAAAATATTTATTTCAAACAACCTAAGTAGTACTCCTATTTAGGTAAAGATAACTATAGGCTGTTATTACCAAGCCAAAAACGACCATCATATGTCCAAAGACCAACTTTTTATGGTATATATGTTTTATTATTATTATTATTATTATTATTAAAATATTATTATTGACTCAGGTTATATATATTATAAGAATTATTTTTTCTAAACAAATTTAAGGTGGAACTCATCATTAGCCTATTGTATTTAAAAGAATCAAGTTTTCTCAATTGCTAATTTTAATTTTTGAATCCTATATAAACATGACTCATTTTATTTATTTTTAATAAATTTAATTTGATATTTTAATTTTTAAAATAAAAATTTTAGATAAAAATTTAATAATTTATATATGAATAATAATTAAAATTTTTTAATTCATATATATAGTTTTTGTTAGATATTTTTATTTCATAAAAAAAATTTCAATTATTATTTATATAAATTATTAAAATTTTTATTTAAAATTTATATTCTAAAAGTCAAAATATCAAAATAAACTTATTAAAAATAAACAAAACAAGTACTAACTTATTAACAAATCTATCTCAAAGTTTTTTTTTTTTTTTTTAAATTCCAAATATGTTATTAATTAAGATTTAAGAAACGATCACCAAAAAGAAGAAAAAAAAAAAAAAAGAGAGAGACAATTGCATCACTGCTATTAATGAAAGAAGAAAATGGTGCATTAAAGAGGTGAAAAGGATATAGCCAAGAGAGAAAAACGGCTGTCGAACTTGTGGTACAACAGTTTAATGTAAGTTTTTTTTCACTATAATAAGCGTTATTTTTCTTCCCCCAAACCACTTGTCTTAATAAAAACAAAAATGATATGGCCAAAAGAAAAAAAAAGGGTGAAAAAGGATTTTGGTTTGCCGAAGGGTCCTGTGACTGCCACTGTTTCAAGGTTGGGGTTGAAAAGAAGATGATTAAGGTCATGCCAATGCCAATGGCATGGTATGACCGACAAACATCACAGGATGGGTGAAACTTCACGAAACTGATTAATTAATTAATTAATTAAATGCAGCATTTTCATCACGTTCTAAACATTGGCAGAGAATGAAAGATATTTCTAAGCACGGCTGATGCTGATGCCTTCCCTGACGTCAGCATTTCTTAGGATAAGACTCGAGTGATCTACAAGACGTTTTCTTAAAAGACATTTTTAAAAATATTATATTTTAATTAATTAATATTTTAAAAAATCGACTGTTATTATGGAGCTGATGGAGTGTTTAACTGTTTTGGAGAGAAGGGAGAATTAGAGACAAGAAGGAGAATCATAAGGGAGAAACTGGGGAGAGATAAAGAAAGAGATGAGAAACAAAAAACTATAGGAAGATAGATTCTTTTGGTATTTTTATTCGTTTTTTAGTATTTTCTTAAAAATGATTTTCTTTGTTCAGACTACACAAAAAAGTCTAGTTAAGTTATGAAAGTATCAAAATACAATGAATCTTATTTACTAAGAATATTTGAATGATGAACAGTCCGTTCTTATCTAATAACATGAACTTTAAGTTAGCATCGTTTACCTTCTGTTGGTGACATGGTCAAATTTTGCAAAAGTTTTTTTTTTTTCATAATTTATATATAAATAATTTTAATTTGTTCAAAAAAAATATTTAAAAGAAAAAATGTTGTATAGTATGAAATATATCGAACTACATAATATTACCTATTAGATGAGAGTTGACCTTTTCCTTTTTAATATTTTTTATTTTACAATTTAATACAATTTAAATTATAAAAAAAAGTTTTTCATATTTAAATACTTTCAAAGTAGTAAATACTTTTAAAACAATAAGAATCTACTTATAAATAAGTTTTACATATTACACTTACATAAAATCTTAACTATTTATCTCTTCACTTTTAAGATGATTTTTAGTAGAAATTGTATTTTTTTTATACAATTTAGATATTAAAATTATTAAAAAATTATTAAAATATTATTAAGAAATAAGCATAGAAGACTTTTTGTTAAGAGTATTTTGATAATTTTAGTATCAAACTATATAAATACAGTTCATACTTAAAAGTATTTTTTTAATACTTTTTTAGCCTAAACTGAAAAAACATATTTGTTTCTTAAAAGCATTTAAACCTTATAGCTTGCTAGAGCTACTACTGTCTGCTGTTGCCAATACTGTAACAATTTTAACAAAAGAATATATGGAAGTTTGTTTTTCAAGAGCTTATTGGCTATCAAATGAAAAGGACCAAAGTGTGCACAAGTATTTCGTGTGGAAGAAATTAAGGAGAACATGAGTGCCTGACAGTAAAGAGACCAACACCCACTCTTTAGTGGTTTTCAGAGAGCCATCAGCTTTGCACGTTCTCACATGTTGGGCAGTTGGGGGGAAGATGACACTGAAATTGAAGGCGATATAATTGTCTCTGGTGCTGCTCCAGAGATGGGAATTCAGTGACACACAAAAGCTTTGTAACAAAGACGAAAATGCTCCCGAAGTTTTAAAAACAAACTGAAGAGGTGGGTGCATCTCTTTTTCTTTTCAATAAATAAATATAGCAGCTGTTTCTTGTTGGATGAAAAAATGGCAGCATCATCCCTGTTCACACTGATTGTAGACATGCAACTGAAGAAAGCTTTTGATCTGGAATCAGAATATAATCTCAATCCCTAACCGATGCGATATCATTAGTAACATGCTCCATTGGAGTAAAGGTGGTAAAAAAAATATCAACTTTATAATTTTTTTTATTTAAGAATGTTAATTTTATTAACTTTTAATTTTTTTATTTAAGAATGTTAATTTTATTAACTTTTAAATAAAAATATCAATTTTTAATTTTTTCTATTTAAGGATGTCATCTTTTAACTTTTTCTGTTTAAGAATATCGATTTTTAATAATTTAGTTAAAAAATTCATTTGTCACATTAACATCATTATTTAATTAATCCATACATAGAAAAAGTTTAAAGTTAATATTCTTCAATAAAAAAAGTTGAAAGTTGACATTTCTAAATATAAAATGTTAAAAGCTGATATTTTTATTTAGAAATTAACAAAATTAATATCTTTAAATAGAAAAAATTATAAAGTTGGCTTTCTTTTTTGCACCTTTGCCCTGTCGGAAATAAATTTAATTTACCATCTTTGGCTTATAAAGAAAAATTATTATGACTCAATGAACAAGTAATAATCTATTTCGTTTACTAGTTCGAAGTATTAAATTTGAGTTATATATAGAAAGGAAATAAAATACGGACGTGGATAAGTTCACTTGTTAAACCAATTCCCGTGTTAAGAGGCCTGACGCCCAAAAATTCCCATGCCAACTGCCCAGACCATTTTGAGTCATTGACAAACACAATACAGGCTGAAAGAGGAATCGGGCCTCCAATCTCAGTCTGGCTGGAAAAACATGGCCTAGGTGGTAATGTGCAGGCCTTTCCAAAGAGGTTGCAAGTTGCAACCCTAAGGACGCATACAGGCCTCTTGTCTTCTAGAATCGAGAGTAGTACCCATTTTTGGTTTTCTTTCAGACCTCTACACATTTCACCACACCACCAGAAATTCCCTTTGCCCTTACCTTACGCCTCTGAGTAACGCTTCAACCCTCTATTACCAGGGCTATTGGCACAGGATTGGCTGATGCTTATTCTCCAAATAAATACCGGCTTCGATGGCTTAAGTAATCAATGACTGAGAAATTTAAGCATTGAACACCATAGCAAAAAGAGAATTTAAAGCATTTAACACAACCACCGTCAGAGTCCTGATATATCTTGTCATGCAAACATACATGTATACATCTGACCGTCTGTAAAGATACAGTAACATGGAGCCCAAAGCACGGAAATTAGACACTATTTCTTTCAGCAAGTGCACACCGAAGCACCAAGTTCAATCCTGCATTATCGGCCAGATATAATTGCCTGAGGTCAGAAGTCGTAGAAGAGAATCATATATTCCAAATCATAGCCAGAGGATGTTTTCCATACGTCACATTAGCAGAGAAACAAGATGTACTTGGCCAACCCTCTGTTTCCTTGTAAACCAACAGGCCGAAGGAACTCATTGAATCTGAGGCCCCAAACAAGTAATCACTAAAGAAAGCAAAGTCTGAGATGTACAAGGAATGATCCAGTACTTTGCGTCAAAGAACAAAACACAGACCCTCTGTATGAACTACTCATTTCCCAAGTTAAGAGAACCATCCTTTCTCAGCTTTATGCTTAGACTGTTGAATCTCCCTCTCGAGTAATGCCGGGAAGCCTTTCTCCAATCTGTTCCAGTTTTCATCATAGCAGCGAATTCATCATAACTAATACGTCCATCCTGCAGTCACAAAAGAATTTTGCCAGTCAACTTGTGATGCACTGAATGAAAAGAGGTATTTAGTGCAAAATATCTGACCTTGTCTGTGTCCACTTCTTGGAAGATGTCATTTGCAACATCAGTACAATCATCTGCTCCATCTTCCATCAAAGCTTCCCGAAGCTCATCTGGTTCAATATAACCATTCCCGTCTTTGTCAAAATAGGAAAAGGCCTTTCTAAGGTGCTCATCATTGGCCATTCTTTGCAGATGAAGAGAAACAGCAACAAATTCCCCATAGTCCAGTTTTCCCTTCCCATTAGCATCTACCTGTTTCCAACCAACCAATTTTACATGAAAATCAAGATGATGAGAAATTATCCTTCTGATTAACTTCATATGATTATCCCTAAAAGGAATTCCATAACTAAATTGGTAAACATTCAAGGTAGAAGTAGAATACTCACAGCTTCAATAAGCATCTGAGCTTCAGACTCTACAAGCTGGGAGCCAAAATTTTTAAGACCAGCTTTCAACTCTTCAATTGAAACTACACCATCATTATCAGTGTCCATCTTCTTGAACATTTCTTTGATGTCTTCAACTTCTTCAATGGACAAGAATTCAGCAATAACCTAAATGAAAGTAACATTAAGATTTACTTAGCTAAAATGAAACAATAACCACAAAATCTAGAGATCGGAAATTCATATGGTTCACCCACCCTCAATGCTTTTCTTTTGAATCTGTTCATCATTGAAAACTGTTTCAGCCTTGACTTGACAACATCCCCAAGAGGAACATTAGGGGCCTTTTTAGCGTTTTGGAGCCAAGGATGCTCTGTAAGAGGATAAAACATGAACATTAAAATTGTTTATCATGACTATCTTAGAGCAAATGATGAGCAAGGATCTCAATATCATAATGAATAAGCTTAGAAGGATGACTGTCCTTCAACATAAAATATAGCATTTGATTTTTGATACCATCAATAATTTCTTAGTTTAATATATGAATTCCCTTTTCCCTCAAGTAAATAACCAACTATTTCTGTGTATAGACAAGCACATCTATGATAATGAACATGAATGAATTTCTCAAACAGCTCTAGAACACAGGCAAGTACTCAGATAGAGAAGAGGAATCATTAAAGTGTTGTATTTTAAGATGCAAGAATCTTGTCACAAATGGTATAATGCAAATGTCACAGCCTAAAGTCCTCATGAAAACCCCACCTGGCATAGATATTAACTCAAGGAATATATATCCATTTTGACCTTGACCAAAAATGATACCCATTTTGACCATCCACCCCCCAAGAAAACACACAAACTTATAGAAGCAGCACATATGAGATGTTAATACCAAGCACTTGCTGTGCAGTGAGTCGAAGCTTTGGATCTGACTCCAACATCTGCCTTACTAGGTTCTTAGCACTCTCAGAAATACTTGGCCATGGATCACGTTTGAAATCTATTAACCCACGAAGAATTGCCTGTGCAACCCCTTGTTCAGACTCTGCATACAGAGCACACTTGGTCAATGGAAAATTTTCAACTGGCACTCGATGCATGAACATATGCGTGTTACTTTTATGCAGACAGACAGATTTTTTTTCCCCCTTTCCAGTACGGAATGGAGGGGTTCAGTGAGAAATCCATGGAGGCATAACTTACCCGCCCAAAATGGAGGAACCCCACATAATAGAATGTAGAGAATCACTCCTGCACTCCATATATCAATTTCTGGCCCATAACTTCGTTTGAGCACCTCAGGAGCCATGTAATATGGGCTTCCAACAATCTCAGAGAATCTTTCACCTGAAATTTGTAATTCATTCAGGCATTAGAAGCCATCATATCCATTAAAAAAAAGGCCTAATCAAGAGAAATAATTGAAAACAGGGGTCAAAGATACCACCACATCACATTATACTGAAAAAACTTTTTCTTCACAATGCCAGCATGCCTGTACCCTGTATCACCCATCCCACCACCTCCCAGCTGATGTCAGACATCCTTAGCAAAAGATTAATGTTTAAGGCCCAAAAAAGGACAAAAAAAAAAAAGAAGAAAGAACTTATTTTCCCATTAAACCTTGGTCAGAAAGTGGTGCAATTTCAAGTTCTTGTGTACGAATGTCTTGTCACTTCTAGAATGAATCACCATGCCCAACAGCAGCGGGCGTTTCAGGGGGGCTAGCAACCATATGTTAACAAGTCTTAAGTGGCAGCCCTTCTAGGAACTATTGAAGTTTGCAAAAATTAAATGAAGCTCTGACTGTATGGTTATTCATACCATGCAAAATATCTTAATAAGGAATCTATTGATAATTATTATGCCAATAGAACCAACCACTATTAGCATATGTATTGACATAAAGGGATCATAAAGGCATCAAGTCTTCCTGAAAGGTATAGTTAATTTGACAAAATTAGTTTATTTGATGATTCTGTACATATTAAAGATTTAAACCAAGAAGTGGAATTTTGAAATGCACATTGAAGGGAGGAGATTGGAGGAATAGACACATCACATACTGCATAACTTTGAGAGAATGCAAAAATAAATAAATAAATAAATAATAATAATAATAATACATAGATAACAGCCTTTCATTTATGCCATGACCGTTTAACTATTTTTAAAGAGAATGAACAATGCAGCATCACATACTTCTGCCCAGAACAACGCTTTTTTGAGAAAATCAGGAACTTAGCCACAAAAGTTCATAAAATTTTCACTCAGAAGGGTAGACGAATACAATCATCAAACGTTAAGCATTTATTTATCAACGAATAAAATGAAAAAAAAAGGTATATATCCATGCATCTAGGTCGGTGTAGGTCCTAAACCAATTTATAATGCAGATTAAACATGAAAGTAAAAGCGTTTGCAACAATTCAATATCCAGCTTGGTGCTTATCAATTTATCACCTTTAAGACCACCCAAAAATCAAACTCCTAAATCTTCCCAGTTTCTTTTTTAAAAAAAAAAAAAAATACCTGGTTTGAAGAATATAGACAATCCAAAATCAATAGCCTTCAATGGCGAATTCTCCTTCTGGTTCGCAAACAAAAAATTTTCCGGCTTCAAATCCCTGTGAATCACTCCATGCTTATGGCACAGCTGAACCACCTCCACTATAGTCCTCGTTACTGTGGCTGCTGCTCTCTCGGTATAATGCCCCCTCGCCACGATCCTATCGAACAGCTCACCCCCCTCACACAACTCCATCACCAAATGCACCGCATTGTCGTCCTCACATGCCTCCTTCAAACTCACAATACTCGAATTTTTTGGCAAGTGCTGCATTATCGCCACCTCTCGCCTCACATCGTCAATATCCACCGCAGTTCTCAGCTTCCGCTTCGAAATAGACTTGCAAGCAAGCAACTCACGCGAGGAGCGATCAATACACAGATACGTAACCCCGAACTCCCCTCTTCCTAGCTCGCGATCCACTAAATACTTCTCCTCAATGTTCTCCTTGGGAACTCCAGTCAGCACAGTGATCGGAGCCTTCTTCGATACCGAATCTTTCCTCCCAAGATCATGTCCGGAGAAGCTCGATTTCACGTCTTCCCTCGCAACAGCGGCCGGAGATCTGCAACAATTCCCCATCTCCCACACTACCACCTTATTTCAACGGATCTCAAAACCCGAAACAAAAACCCTAACCAAAATCCTTAGCTAGGGTTCCACATTATCTTTCCCAGCAAAAGCAAAGCACTAGAACATAAATCTAACACTAGAGAACTGAAGCAGGGAGTGTTTGGAGTCCGAGAAACGAAGAGAAAGCGGCGGAATTAGTGAGAAAGCACGGGTTTAGCGAAAGTTCGGCTTTTAATACTGTTTTTAATTTTTTTCTAAATTCTCTGCAATTTCGTTTATTTATTTATTTAAAGTAGAATATGTTCTTTGATTCTGTGAATTTTGTCGACCGATGAACGGGACATGAGGAGTGGGAACAGGGAGGGGTTTGTCTGTTAGGACTTAGGCCTGTGATTTAATTGGGCGATTGCGGGTAATTTAACAGGCAGAATCAAAACGGATCAATTTAAATAAATGAAGTTATGATGAAGCCCTTCAACAAATATGCACAATCTCAATTTCGCCATGAAATTTTTATTTATTAATGTTAAGTCCTTAATTTCGCCTAAACTTTTATGCCCAATTTTATTTTCACCATAGTTGGTGTTTGTGTTTTTCTTTTTCTTTTTCTTTTTCTTTTTTTCTCCTAAAAAGATTAGGGTTATGGTTCTAGTAGTTACTAATTTTGCTAAATTATTGTTTATTTGTCATTCCAAATGAAAATACATTAAAATATATTTAATTTGAGGATAACAAAAGGGAGTGATATTTTTTTTTATCAATCAAAAATATAATATTGACTAGTGTTGTAATTTAATTAATTAAAAAATTATATCGACTAATGTTGTAATTTAATTAATTAAAAAATTCTATCATCTCTCCTTTTTCCCCTTTCTCGTACCCTCAAACTAAATTTATCCTAATAATTATCATTTCATCTCAAACTAGCGTTTTAAAACCTATATTTACTTGAATAAACTTGGATTTTAAAGACTAGATTCACTTGATCGAATCACCTGTGAGATTAATCTAAGAAATAATTATTAATCCTATTTGGTTTAGAGTCTAAGATTTATTAACCTTATTTGATTTAGTTGTTAGGAGCATGATAGCTAATACTTAATCTATATTATGTACCCAAAAAAATACTTAATATGTATTAATGATTAATAATTATTATTTTCTATGTGCAAAAATAACTTTTATTTTTAATTTTTTCTCTATATAAAGAATTAAAGAATAATTTATGTATTTATTTTTAATATTTTTAAATATAGATAAAAGATAAAAAAAATTTATTATTATCAAATTAATTAGAGT